TCTCGTGGATTTGAACAGGATTCTCTGCAGCAGAATTATGTCATCAGACACTATCAGCGACCTCGTTCAGATGCTGCAAATATTTCGTCTTCTGTATATTTTGGCATTTATTTTCCGGTGATGAAGTAATTTCGTCCTTGGACTAAAAGCAAACGACCTTTACAAACATGTGCTACAGAATCGTGGTATTTTGGACACTGAAATACCATATAAATGCCATAATATGTGACCCTGGACCACAAAATCAGTCATAAGGATCAGTTTTCTGAAATTGAGATTTATACATCATCTGAAAGTTGAATAAATAAGCTTTCCATTGATAAACTATTTGAAAATCTGGAATCTGAAGGCGCAAAAAAAATCAAAATGTTGCAAAAATTGCTTTTAAAATTGTCCAAATGAAGTCCTTAGCAATGCATATTACTAATCAAAAATTAAGTTTTGATACATTTACGGTAGGAAATTTACAAAATATCTTCATGAAACATGATCTATATTTAATATCCTTATGATTTTGGGCATAAAAGAAAAATTGATAATTTTCACCCATACAATGCATTGTTGGCTATTGCTACAAATATACCCGTGCTGCTTATGACTGGTTTTGTGCTCCAGGGTCACATACGAATTTCAGTAGCCTACCATGGTGTATTAGCATTATTGTACCATAGTACCATAGTATTAACATTATTGTACTATACCTTGTTTTTTATGCTGATACTATTGTGTTCCTTACTCTGGAGTACCATGTAATACCATGGTATTGGATTATTACAATAATAATACACCATGGGATTTAAATGGTACTATATTGTGCTTCAAAGAATGCTGCTTACCATGTTTAAAAAACATGGTAATACCATGGTACGTTTTTTGTAGGTTGCTTCATCTGGCTTGAAATCGTTGAGATATCGGCTGTGTTTCATATTGACTAATCTTTAGCTTTATGATGTGTGTCTTTCAAACACAATCTCGTCTCAGGTGAACTTTAGTGTATGTCAAACGTCTGCTGGCAGGGCAAAGGTGGAAGATAACTAGTTAAGAGGAGCAGAACACCTTGCAGTCGCAGATAACAGATTCTTGCAAGTTGTTCTTCAGTCAGAGCCGAATGAATGTTTTCACATACAGTACATCTCATTTAGATAATGGAATACATTTTAAAAGAATTAAAATATTGTTTAATTTCTATTGTTCCTAAATTTATTTAAATACTACACTGTGTTGTTCACACCCTTCTTAAACTCTTACCGGCTTAGTAGTGAGCACCGTGAGAGAAAGAGAGAGTGAAACAGCATACGGTCTGAACACGCGCGCGCACACACACACACACACACACACACACACTGGTGAGAGTACTGTACAGCAGCTAACCAATTAACCAGCAGACAGCGAGAGCTCATGCTCTGAGTGGCTGATATTCATCTCTCTCATCTTATCGCTCCTTACTCTCAGTAAATCTGCCTTTGCTCTAGTCTACAGTCAGTCACTCATCACTGTCGGCTCATTTCTGCACACATTGATTCACCGCTCAAACTCTGAGACTGCAAATCTACTAGACGCTGAGCTAGTCTCTCCCTCTCTCTGCTTTTTAAAATTTAGTTCTTGAAAAAAAAAAGATTAAAAAAAAAATATAGAAATAAGTATATAAATATATAAATATAAATAAATTATACATATTATATTATATTGTATTATCAAATAAATAATATAAATTGAATAATAAAATTGTATATTTTGCTAAATTATCAAAGAAATTATGTATACACGTGTGTGTGTGTGTGTGTGTGTGTGTGTGTGTGTGTGTGTGA